GCTTCATTTGGTCCAAATTATATATGCCGAATTCAGCAATCAAAGTGTTCAACTTGTTTAAAACATTTGCGCTAGTTGAACGCTCGAAGTCCATTGACTTAACACCTAAGATGAGATCTACCAATTTAAAATCTTTTTGGTAGTGCAAGGTGGCACCAAGAAAGTTGCGATGAACGTAACTGTCCGTCCACAAGTCAACTGTGGCAGTTGCTCCACCACTATTAGCAACTTCGGCTATCTCATCTTTAATCATGTTTTTTTTTTCATCCGCCAACTTTTGTGTAGCTCGAGACACCGTCGTTGCATCAGGCAGCAGGTCATCAAGATCAACTCCTTCCTTATACCTTCCACCAATATTGACTAGAAACTTTGCCATGTTCCTAAATCCATTGCCATTAATTGATGAAAAGGGTCGGCAGTCCTGTGTCACCCATTCCACACATGCGTCAATAGCATCTTTTTGTCCTCTGGTTTCGCTGTAGTCAACAATTTTGACTCTTTAAGCAACTTGCAGCATTTGTGTCGGCTTAAATTTGAAGTCTGTTTCGGTGAGTATTTCACAAGATTATGACAAGATCGGCAATATAAAAAACCATCCAAAACAACGCCATCCTCCTTAACAATTTCTGTTAATATGTTCCAAATATTACTTCTACCCTTATGTCGGGCAGCCAATTGGTATTCAACACTAGGTAAATCGTTGACAAAAAGAACAAACAGAAGAGGTCCTAAGTGACTACCTTGTGGGACACCAGATGAAACGTTTATAATCTGTGATGAACTGTTTTTAAACAAAACACGCTGCGTGCGGTTCGATAGATAAGAGGTCAACCACTGTACTATATGTGGAGAAAACCCCATAAGACACAGCTTATGAAGGAGGGGATGGTGGTTCACAGAGTCAAACGCTTTACTAAAGTCAGTGAATATCACATCAGTTTGCATGCGGCTCAGAAAACCTCTGTGGAATTCAAGAAATATAAATTATAGCTGCCATATAACTAAACGATCGAAAATGACCCAACTTTAGTACAGATTCTATTGATCCTCTTCTATGATTCTATTGGTCAGTTGATCCAACCTACCAAATTTCATTAGGATCGGCCTACTATATCTTATAGCTGCCATATAACTGAACGATCGGAAATGGTATTTGGTAGGAATATCAACTTTCGTATTTATGAAGATAGAAGCTTGGGACTTTTTTTTAGATTTTTTATTTTAATTAATTGGTTTTATTATGATGTAATCATAAGGATCGGTCAACATTATCCGATGTTTGCGATATATATCCACTTTTAACTGCAAGGGTATATCAACTTCGGCTCCGCCCGAAGTTAGCTTTCCTTTCTTGTTTAAGTTAAAAAGTTCGGAATTTCTACGACTGCTATTTTTAGCAAAATAATACGACACACCAAATTTTATAAGGATTGACCGACTTTATCCTATTGTTGCCATACAACAATCGGAAATATAAGAATTAGCGTGCAATTTGCAATACGAGAAAACGATGCACTATTGATCCAAGAAAATTCAGGTCCACCCTGTGTGGTAGCCAGACCATAAGTCAATGCACCACTGATCCAAGGGTCAGCACCGAGATGACTTCTATCGATATTAAGCCGATATTAAAAAAAAATTAAATCCTTTTGCCGCTTGGCGTAAAACTTAGTGACCTTTCCATTTTTTCTTTAGTGTTTTTTATATGTCATAATTTTACCATTACATAGCTGAAAACTTCAACGGCGTGATCAAAAATAGCTCCAATACTACAACAAACAGAATAACAGCCCTATTTAACAAACTATACAAAACTAGCCTTATAATTTCTTTCCTGAAGCCAGACCCATTTACTTTACGTAGACTATCTCATATCTTGATCATATCACTCTAGATTTTCCAAAAGCCTTCGACCGAGTAGGTGTGCGTTCTATAATTGACCAATATTAGGAATGGAAAACAGGGCCGGAAATAATAAATTGCGTCCGAAATTTCATGCTTAGTAGAAAAATAATAATCCGTGAGGGTCAACACCGATCCAACATACTATTCGTAATAGTCTTTAATAAATTGTCCGATATAATATCCTTACAAAAGGAAATCAAATTTAATCCACAAGCCGATGACTATTTTCTCATAATTAACTTTAATAAACAAAAAAAAATATATTAGCTTTAACCTAGGTAACCTTTTAAATGACAGAGAACTTGGGCTCATATTCCGGGGCATCCCTATCCCTATCAAAGTGCCAAAATCTCCACATTTGCAAAAAGCTCGTAAAGCTCGTGTCGTAACATTCAATAGCATGCAAATCTCTACAGTAAGTTCGTTAAAAATCTTAGGAATAAATATACACAGCAAATATAAATTGAACACACAGATAGATTAACTTATACCTGCACTTCACAAAAAACTAAATATAATAAAATGCCTATCCAGTCTGAAGTTTAAATGCTGTACAGGCACATTAATCAACGTGGTAACAGCCACTATTGTTGCAAAAATAGAATACGGCCTATTCCTATTCCTACACGCACCCAAAAACACACTAAACAAAATATAACCGCCCCTAAACTCCGCTATTCGCCTAGCTCTCGGAGCCGTCCGCTCTACTCCAACAAATAACCTCCTACAAGAAGCCAACATTCCCCCCATAAGAATTAAAACGAGATCTGCAAACAGCCAAACTAAGTAAAAACCTCATTTATTCCAAAGAAAGGCGAATATACAAATTCGTAAAACAAAGTAAATTTAAAACAAGAAAGTCAAGCTAACTTTGGGCGTAAGGTATGCAGAATGAAATACGAACAACTGTTGCAATACAAATATAAAAAACACTATAAGTCCGACTAACTTAAATTTGTTATATGTTTTTTATTAGACTATATGATATTTTTTTCAAAAAATATTCATAACCATTGCGATCAGCCTTCCTTATATTTTTGGGTATTTTTCGCATAGCCTCCAGAATTCCATTTGTATCGATTTTAGCAAGCTCTCTTTTGATTTTTAATATTAAATAGTCAATGTTTTTTGGCTTATATCCCTTGCTGTAAACATTTCTTTTTAAATTTGCCCAAAACTTTTCGATTGGCCTTAACTGAGGCACATTTGGAGGGTTTTGCAGCTTAAAACACCGTATTATCACTTGCATGATACTTATCTATAAAATTCATAAGCGCCGGAAGACAATTGTCCTTGCAAATTTGGATATTGACAGCCAGTCCTCCCTTAAAAAAGACAGGTTTGCTAATTCCACGCTCGCTTATGGCGAGCCACAGTAAAACCTTCTTAGGAAACTTTGTTTTTGTAACCTGGGTTACATTTTCAGGTGGTTGAGTACCAGGAAGCTTAAAGTAATGTTTTGGAGTCCATGCATGACCCTCCCCTGTGAAATACGTCTCATCATCCATTATGCAAAATTTCGAGCTGCTTGCAGAAAACAAATTTCTAGAGAGCGCACGCAGCCGAACTTTTATTGTCTCTCTCTGATCTTCTGGAACTTTGGAAACGGTTTATTTTGCAACATTTGACCACTTCCATGACTTTTACATACTTTTTAACAGTTTTGTCGCTCACATTGTATTTTTTAGCAAGCGCACGATACGATTTGGCTGAGTGACCCACAATTTCAGCCTTTAATTTGGCTTTTACGTGAGACTGCTGTAATGGACATTTTTTTCCGGATCCACGGGCTCTTTCCATTTTTTTCCCATTCTGAATATCCAAAATTACTTTATAAATAAAAGTTTTCTTAAATCCCATGGCAGAAAAGTGATGGAAAATTTCATTTTTCAGCTGAGATGGGTTATTTTCGTAATATTTGCAAATCGACGTTCTGCTGTGTTTAGAGACATCACCGCAACTACGCATTAACCAGTCCCTTGAAACTCAATCTTTCGAATTTGTATTTAAAATCGTGTTCCGCAATCCGCTTGTGCCCAATGCAAGCTTCCACCCAATCTCAAAAAAATTTTTTAAATGGTGTTTGGAGAATTTAATATTTAATGGATCAAGATGCAATCTTATGTTTGTTTATTATTCTTGTCTTATCCAGGCTACGTATTTTCCCTATGGGAGTTCCTTAGAAAAATAAACTCATTTAACTAATTAATGAGTCCACTAATTAGTGCACCAGCCATTTCCTTAATTCTACAAAACCTCGAAAAAAACGGATGATATTTGGCCTAGTGTTTTAAAAAAATCCTAATTTTACCAATGTGTAGTCAGTGTAGTCACAATTTCAACAAATTTTCTACACATTCTCTTTTCTGTAGGGATCTGCCGACTATATCCTATAGCTGCTATATAAATAACGGATCGGAAATAACTATTATCATATAATCAAAAATAGAAGGTTGCCCAACTGATTAAATCAGCCTAATTTCATAAGTATCAGCCAACTTTATCCAATTTTTGCGATATTAAATATTTCTGATCTTAACGGCAAGTGTATATCAATTTGACGTCTATGTCAAAAGTTGGCTTACCTTTCTTGTTTACTTATTTTTTTTATTTCGAAACGTCTTAGTTGCTCCCCCACGACCGAAATTTTTATATAACGTACTTTTTTATTTCATCTAAGCTGGTCAGCAGTTGCAATTGCCGCAGATGGTGCAGGCCGTGTACCAAAGGAACAGCATTTACAACAGCAGTGCCAAGGAGGCCAAAACGGGAACCGGAACTGGAACTGGAGCAACTGCCTCCTCGGCATCTGTGAAGGGTGTTGCCCCCAAGCCGGCCTCCAATTCGCTGGTCTCTATGATGCACGATAAACTGCTGATTTAGCATCATGGGTTTCTTTTATATATAGTGAAATTCTTATTGCTATAACGATCGTCCTATTATATTCGATAAATAAACAAATATCCGATCCAATGTGTATCCAAAAATGCAAAATTTTACTAAACTGCAACGATATGTCAACATCGGCTCCACCCGAGGTTTATTTTTCCTATTTTTTAACTTGATATTCACTGTCATTTGAATGCTTCTTTCAGCCGGTGCAGACAAAGTAGTATCACCTGTGAGGAAGAGGATTGCTATTCAAAACCATCAGCTTATACATATAATTTTATTACCTTCGTTTCAAAACTGATTATTGCACCAGAAGGTCGAGTTATCTTTACACTAAGGGGCCCCCTTTGGTACGACAACATTGACTTCGATCTTAAAATTGTTCGAGTGCAAGCTCCTGCAATTATTGAAAGAGCAAATGAAAGGAATTTTGAGTAAGTATGATTCTATGTCAACATAACTTTTTTACAGACACATATGTTTACCTTCAGCACTATAACCGTTATAAAAAATAAATTCCTGATTAGGAGCATTTGCAATTTTAGGACCCCAGAAACAAATTTTTCCCAAAATATACATAAATATATTGAAAATATCGGATGTAGTTGACCGATCCGCAAACGAAATCACATAACAGACAAAGGAGTTTCACAATTTAGTGCACTGTGAGTTTCGAAAAAAGTCCCAATCTTTTATCTGCATTATCGGTAAGTTCATAGCATTGCCGATCGTTCAGTTTTATGTAAGCTATAGGATCTGTTTCGACTTACATATTTCGAGCAAAGAAAAGAAAAATGTGTGCAAAATGACTATTTGTGAATATCGACTCAGGATGTAATACTTATCAAAAATATATATAGATTATAGTGTCGGAAATGTTGTCTTTTACTTTTTTCTAAACTTTTGACGAAAATTTTAAGATTCTCTGAAAGGGTATAATCAGTATAATCAGGTATTGAAGCTGTTCAAGCGTTCAAGCATCGAATGCTTTACTGAAGTCTGTATAAATAATATCAGTTCGAAAGCCTTTTCGGAAGGCATCTAGACAAAGGACGTCAACCCCAGTAAATTAGTGGTGGTAAAGCGACTCCTTATGAAGCCATGCAAGCGTGGAAAAAGGATCAAAGAGCAAAGATGTTGCAAATGAGGAGTGATTAATTTTTCAAATAAATTAAATTATTAGAATTGACGAAAATTTATAATAGAGATGCTTCTGTTTTTGGCAGCATCAGAATTTTTTCCTTTTTTATGCGGTGTTACAATTCAGCGTTACGACCGATAAAATTGGAAGTGGATATTTTGAAAAATCTTTACTACTGCATCATTTTTTATCTTTAAGTAAAAGCCTGCTTTACTATTTTTGTTTTTTACTTCCGGAGTCGGAAGGCCTCTGATGTTTGCTGAATGTTCGTGCAGAACTTGGTCCAGGAATTCCCTTTTGCCTTACCAAGTTCGTTGTTGTATTGCCTAAGGTTCGCTTTATACGTCTCCCAGGCTGTCTCCGGGTTTGTCTTGCCCGATCTACTTTTGGGACAAGCTTTATTGAATGCCCTGGCGCACGCTGCCGTAAGCGTGTCCACCATGGCATCCAGGACTTTCCTACTGTCAACGTCCCTTGTTGGAGGTTTCCCCAAGGAACTTTCTAGTTTTTTTCTGTATAGCTCCCAGTTTGCTTTTCTCGGGTTGCGTATCGTTAATCGATTAAAGTTCTTAAAATTGACCACTAATTCTATGTATCGATGGTCCAAGAAAGAGTGTTTCTCTAGGAATCCCCATCTAACAATCTTGTCTGCTAGGGAGTCAGAGTAAAGAGTAATGTCAAATACTTCCCTTCTGATCTTGACTATAAAGGTGGGTTCTGTACCCCTGCTACCCACCAGAAGATTGCAGCCTAGGAAAAAATCGACGATTGACTCACCCTTCTCGCTCGTGTCAGGGCTTCCCCACTGATGATGATGGGCGTTGGCATCGCAACCTATGATCAGGTCGATCTTATACTTCCTGCTGTCTTCCACCAGCTGTTTGAGTAGCGGGTGAGGTGGGAGGGCCTGGTCGTGGCTCAAATACGCCGAAGACACCCTTAAGGGACCCTTTGGGCTCTCTATCGCTGTGGCGACATGGTATTCATTACTGAAATTGGGTAGCAAAGAGAGGTTAAGGTTCTTTTTTGTGAGGACGCAGGATCGCCTTTTACCTGTTGTATCGACTCCGACGCCCCCAACCCAATAATCCTGTCTCCAAGAATACAGGGTTCCTGGATAAGGGCCACATCAGCTCCACTCTCGGCGAGGTGGTGTAGGCGGGCAGCTGACGCCGCTTTACTGTGATGGAGGTTTATCTTCAAGATTGTCAGGGGCATTCTTACAATTCTCCACCACAGTAAATTCTTCTTCCATCTCGGAGCTCAGCAGAGAGTCCTCCTCCATTCCGATTCCACTAAGTGCCCTTGCCAAGTCGCTCTCCTCCGAGGTGTACCCTTCCGACATTCCTTCCGGTCGCCCCTCTTCGGTCGGCTCCTCCAAGTCTGGCTCTTGCGTGTCTTCCTCCAGCCCGATACTTCCTGGCTGGGTCTTCGCATCCAATTTGTAAATACGGACCGTCACGTGTTCAAATCCGTACTTCAGCCGGTGCTCTGACCTTTCCAGGGCTTTTACGGTCTCTTCGTTGAGGGTGAGGACGACCTACCTCCGAAGTCCTACCGCCTTCTCGACCTTGGCGACTCTCCAGCCGTGGGAAGCGTCGGATTGCACATCCTTAGCATAGTTAGGTTGGTCTTAGGGTCGGATTTTCTGTGAGCCACACTCGCGCCCTCGGTTTTCTTAGGATCTCCTCCCAGTCAACCGCCACCAGCTTAGCTCCAGGGTAGACCTCTCCAAGCGATGCTACCATACGCTTGTAGGTCTCTACCGATCGCGCGTCTTGGCAGGCAATTACCTTAACGCTACCCTGGTACCATCCTGCGTCTTCGCATTCTGGTGGGGGCCTCCGCTTCGCAGCATCTCCTCCACGAAGCGCCCATGCAACTCGTTTACCACTCGTCGCCAAAGGTCCTTGGGGATGAGCCCATCCTTGAAGCCCTTGTCCAGGACTCCAATTAGGGTTCATCGCTTCGTCACTTCGGGGAACGAGCGGTTGGACGGCTGCGGCTGGGCCTTCCTCTTCTTAGCCTGGGGGACTTCTCCCTCCGTGAACCTCTGCCTTTTCACGCATTGCGCGATCTCCTTGGCAGGGTCTCACCCAGCACGTTTTTTCGGATCCAGCCTCACACCCCCGTTTCCCGGTTTAAAATTGGGCACGATCTCCCTTGCCCACTTAATAATCTCGGCCTTGTCCGGATTGGCTTCGGCCGATGGGTCCGCCCTCATTAAAATGAAGGCTGCTCTTCTCCTATCCTTATAAGAGCCTTTACGCTGCGTCGAGTGAGACGCTCCCAGACCAGGGTTCGCCTTAGGGGCCCCGCCGGTTGGTTTAGAGGTTGACCCTGGGGTCTTCCTCTCCACGCCGTTCGGTGGTCCCATGGCTAGCCCCGCTTTGGAAGAAAAAGCCTTGGCAACCTCCTCCGCACCGGCGCGTCCCGCCTCCAGCCTCTCCATCTCAGCAACTCCTTGGCTTTTGAGAGCCTTGGAGTTTGACGGGTCACTGACCCCATTTCCGGACTGTTTTGGGGAGTTTCGTTCTCCACTTAGGTTTTTATTTGGTATGGTAGTGTTCATATTTTGGTCCCACGAGTAGGCGGGAAAGGGTTCGTCCATCATGATCCATCGTCCGCTTGTCACGATAAGCCTGGTTAAAACTTAAAACTGGAGAGTATAGTCGCACTATAGCCCCTTTTTCACCCGTTGGCTGACGGGCAACTAGTCAAATTATTAGTCAAATTAGACTAGTTAGGACTAGTTATTTTCTATCGAACCGACGAGGTAGAAAGACGTCTTCAAGTGAGTTTCTTGCTTCGCCCAGACTATCAACCACTAACTACGAAACGTTTTTTTTTTAGTCCAGAACCAACAGCCTTACATAAACAGTCGGCTGGCAAGCACTTAACCATAGAGAAGGATTTTTTGCCCAAATTAAAGCAACAGCTTCTTGGAGAGCACTTTCACTACGTGGATCAACGATCTGCGCGGTTTCCCATCTAAGCCCGAATTTGTAGCTAATCCTCTTTCTCCGTGAGCAGAAAATGAAATATTGTCCTTATTACCCGCTCGTTCTAGCTCTGAAACGCAGCGCAGTCATTTAACTGAACGATCAAAAATGGTATTTGGTAAAATTACCAACTTTGGTATTTTTTTTTGGTATTCTGATCTTGCGAGTTCTTGCCTCGAGCTCGCTGTAAAGATCTCCTGGACCTCAGGCATTTTTTACGGAGTGACGGGATCTGACTGGTCCACTGGTCCACTGACTGGTTCCTGATTAGAACCAAGCTGCCCGTCCACGTCGAGCTGCTCGGCCATAGCTATCCCAATGTCCTCTTCCGTCGCCAGATGATCGAGGTACTCTTTTCTCAAATAACTTCAGCTTATTGTCCTCAGACTATCCTCGCACTTCGGCAGCTCCCTGTAGGGCCTTTTTGGGGTTCTCCCTCATAGCGTCCATGCTATCCGTGGTGTAAATATTGGCTAAATTCCTTTACCACGCGTCGGGCGGGTGGACGTTTTAGGCTTCTTCCAGGTATCAGATTACCATATTGGGGCTGGGCTCGCAGCGACAAAGACCGAGCTCAAACATTCGCCGCACATCTCCAAAGTGTCTTCCTGCCAAACCCAGCCTCAAATTCATTCCTCCTGCCAGTAATTCAGCCAGAGTCCTTCCCTCAGCCAGCCGCACCTTCATTCCGGCCGAACGAAATCGAGGGGCTAAAAGAGGGCTAAAACCAAAAATGGCCCCCGGTGGTAACCTATTGATTCCAAAGATGCTGATCGAACTTCCAAAATGCCCTATAAAGGTCGTCTGCAAACTATTTAATGGAATCATTAATCTTGGCTATTTCCCAAAAAAGTGAAAGAAATCCAACATTATAATGATACCGAAGTCTGGAAAAGACCACACAATTCCGTCATCATACAGACCAATAAGCCTTCTATCTTGTTTGTCCAAATTGTTTGAAAATAGCTTGTTAACTAGCATAATACCACATCTGGAAGGTTGCAATATTATCCCGGCACACCAATTTGGCTTCCGAAGAAACCATGGAACCAAGTGAATAGATTACAATCCGAAATACGCTCAGCCTTCGAACAGCGAGAATACTGCAGCGCTATTTTCCTCGACGTATCCCAAGCTTTCGACCGAGTTTGGCTCATCGGACTCATGCACAAAATTATAACGTTTACTCTTAATAGACAAACATGCCCTCCGCAGGCAACAACCCAACTGGCTAATCATCTCATAATAGTGGAAAGGTGGCTGTCCGACTGGCGCATTAAAATATACGAAC